TTTCTCTCAAACAAAGAATATTTATTTACTGTCTTTTAATAGATTTTGAGAGTTGTTAAATTTGCTATATATTTAAAAAAAAATTTAATTTTCGAAATATTTTATTATTTTTTATGAGCCAAAATTTTTGAACGTTCAAATGAAAGATTTTTTTTGTAACTTTTTGAAGTACGAATTTTATTACAAAATATTTTTTTAAATATCTAAAAAGAAGTTATTAATTTACTATCTGTTTAATTTACTGTTTTACTTTACATTGTCATCATAATTTTTAATAATTTATATATTGGAAAGAATATTTCGTTCATTTGAACGTTCAGAACTTTTGTCTCATTATTTTTCACAATTTTAAATATTTAGAATTTTAAGAAAGAAATTTGCAAATGCAAATTAAAAAGTTGTCCTTCACACTCAATTATTAATCATGTGATATATTTTATATTCATTAAGTAAATAATTATTTACTACTATTAATTGAATCTATAAATGATGTTTTAAACGTGGATAATAATTAATTAATTTTTTTCAGTGAAATATTTGGTTATTAATATAAATAAAAATTATTTGATGCAATGTTATTTTATCCGTTCAACACTGCAAAAAGAAGCATCTTATTTTAAGATGTTTTGGTCGCCTTTTTAAGATGTTTTTTATAACTTGCTTCTAAGTTATCAAAAACATCTTAAAATGCATTAGTTTCTTAAGACATAAGATAGATAGGAAGATACTTTTGGTAACTTGCTTCCAATGTGTCTTATAATAAGATACTTCTTTTTGCAGTGAACCTTAAATAAAGTAAATTATTCATTAATACGAATAATTTATTATTTAATGCTAATACCAGAGAGGAATTGAGAGTAAGCACGTAATGCAAATCACGCTTTTCTATTAAAATCTGCCCACTCGCGGTCAAAATTTCGAAGCCTAGGTGGTTAGCTTAAATATTGCTTATATTGCTTAAATCGGTGAGGCTACATCACGGAGGAATAGTAGGCTTCACACATACGCATAATGTAATGGCTAAGCAGAATGACGTTCGGAATTGATCGCGCGGGCTCGTGTATCTTTGCATGAATTAGAGAAACAAACTAAAAACGAAACGTGCGTGCGGTCCTCATTCAATCTTTTGACTTTTTTTTAGATTTCATTATCGGCCAATATTTTTAAGGTTAAACTTTTATTAAATTTGGAATTCTAAATGTTCTCTCGAGAAATATATAGTTGAATAAATACGGAATTCTTTTTCGATAAATCTTATAATAATTATTAATTTATAATAATTAATTTAAAATGAAACAAATATTTACTAACCGCTGTAAAATAAAATTATTATTGATAAATTGTTTAAAATTATAATTTTTATTAATATTATCTTTATTTATTTAATTCAGTTAGATCATAAATAATAATGTGAAATAATGTGCTTTTGTCAAAGTCATAAGAAAAATCAAATTCTTTTTATTACATATTTTGCCGTAAAAATTTTTGAAAAATAATATTCTTTGTAATATTATAATAAAATAACATATTTTAGAATTTAAAAATTTTAATGCTGACAACATTTAGTCAAGAGATTAGTTTTTTTAACTTAAAAAAATAAATAAAATAATCAATTTTAAAAAATATTTTATAGGTTCTTTTAAATCAGAAAAATTGTTTTTGTAAATTAATTAGGTACTTAATTATTTTTACATTGGGGCTCGATAAATTTTTTTTTATTTTTTATTAATTTATTATAATTATAAATTTTATAACATAATTTTTATAATTATAATTTTTTGTTATAATTATTATTAATTCTTTTATCGGGCCCATAAGTAAAAATAATTAATTTATTAATAAAAACAATTTTTTTATTTAAAAACTTATATCTATACAATTTTTATAATATATTTTATTTTTTTTGAAGTTAAAGAAAAATTAATCTTTTGACAAAATTTTTCTAAATTTAATTTTTTTAAAAGATATAAGCAATTTTAAATACCTACATAAATATGTATTTACAAAATCAAAATTTATAAAATTTGAAAATAAAAAATATGTAAGCGTATATAATATTTTTTAATAATAAAAAATAGCAAATATATCAACCCGAAATTAAAGTTTGAACTGTAACTTTTACGTAGGCTTGTCCAAATAAAAAAATAAGTTAATTTTAAATAAAATGAGAATATTCTTTAAAATTAAATTGTAAGCATTGTTGTCAGTACCTATTAAAATTACCTACAATTTAATACATTATTAATTTGTATCGAATTTTCTATGGTGTTTACTTTCACATTATTATTTATGTTTTAACTAAATTAGGTAAATAAAGATAATATTTATAAAAATTATAATTTTAAACAATTTATCAATAATAATTTTATTTTACAGTGGTTATTAATATATTTTATTCTGTTAAAAAAAATCATTAACTTTTATATATGGGTAATTTCACGTGAGATTTCATTGGACCCTTTAAATTCGGCCATATATTTTTTTTCTTGTTCAAATTTTCGAGTTATGTATTTTCAAAATTTCAGTTTTGTAAATGTAGATCTATTTTCAATGGTTGATAACTCGAAAAAATGAGAGTTTTTCAATTTTTGCTAAAAGAAAAAAAGTTTCAGTTTTTTTCTACATTTGAATAATGTTAAAACAAAATTTTTTTTTCTTTTTTTGTTAAAAATTACAATTTTTTATAAACAAGTTAAGTTTTTTTAATTTGGATGTGATTTTTTTAAAACATACCTGAAAATAATAAGAAGATTTAGCAAAAAATGTAGAGTGGGTTAATAAGTTTTATAGGTTAAAATAAACATTTAAACACCATACGCGCAGCATTGTGCACATTTCTGAATAGTAAAAAAAATTGTTAAATTGTTAAAAATTATTTAAAAATTTTTTTTTGAAACCTGAAATTTTATTTCGCTATGAAAAATGAAAAAAAAATTTTTTAACAATTTAACCATTTTTTTTACTTTTCAGAAATGTGCACAATCTGCTGATAATTTAGGAAGCCACGGTTTGAGAGGTTTCCTTGAAAATTTTAGTACTACACAATATTTTTGTAGGTTTTGTTTGGTAACTCGAAATAAGTTTTGGCCTGCTTCCGAACCTCATTCTGTATCTGATTTAGAAACTGATTCTGTATCTGACTTAGAAACTGATTCTGTATCTGATTTAGAAATTGATTCTGAATCTAATACCGTAATTGATTCCCAACCTAATTCTGAGCTTAATCCCGAACAATATTCAGAGAAAAGTACTGATTACATTCCACATTCGTATGAAAAACGAACTGTTAATTCATATAAAACATCGCTGAAAAGAATTAAGGGGAAAACGAAATACTGCGACGGTGTGAAAGAGCCTCGGCAAAAAGTGCCCCTTTTTCGTATCTCGAATTTTGAAACTTTTTTTAAGCCAAATGGTTACATATGATGACCCAATAATCCCTGCAAAATTTCAAGATGAGCATGTGCCCCCTTTCCGAAATACAGGGGGTCAAAGGGGGCCATGTCCAAAATTAGAATATGCAATATAATCGAATAATAATGTTAAAAAAAATCAGACCAAATGGTGCCCTTAAGATTTTCTTCTGCTGATTACGAATCTAAAGTCCGTTTTTAAAAATTCAAAATGGCGGATCCAATATGGCGGACGACATTTTTAAAAATCGATCCAATTGACGTGAAAATCGTTACTCGGGGGTTTTTGGGGTCTCTGATTACGAGTATGATGTCCGTTTTTAAAAATTCAAAATGGCGGATCCAATATGGCGGACGACATTTTTAAAAATCGATCCAATTGACGTGAAAATCGTTATTCTGGGGTTTTTGGGGTCTCTGATTACGAATATGACGTCCGTTTTTAAAAATTCAAAATGGCGGATCCAATATGGCGGACGACATTTTTAAAAATCGATCCAATTGACGTGGAAATCGTTACTCTGGGGTTTTTGGGGTCTCTGATTACGAGTATGATGTCCGTTTTTAAAAATTCAAAATGGCGGATCCAATATGGCAGACGACAATTTTAAAAATCGATCCAATTGACTTGAAAAAAAATAATTGGTTAGATAACTTCATCTTACCTTTGTTGGTTGGATTCTAATCCCTTATCTTTGTTGATCGGGTTGTCGATTACATCTTGCCTTCATTGGTTGGATAACTTCATCTTACCTTTGTTGGTTGGATTATTATCTCTTATCTTTGCTGATCGGGTTGTCGATTACATCTTGCCTTCATTGGTTGGGATACTACTTCTTATCTTTGTTGATTGGAATATTACATCTTACTTTAGATGGTTTTGTAATTATTACATCTGGCCTTTGCAAGCTGAATTTAGCCTTAAATCTTGCCTTTATTCGTTATATTAGATCAGACATTTTGAATTTTTAAAAACGGACATCATATTCGTAATTAGCGACCCCAAAAACCCCCGAGTAACAAGTTTCAAGTCAATTGGATCGATTTTCAAAAATGTCGTCCGCCATATTGGATCCGCCATTTTGAATTTTTGATAACGGACATCATATTTGTAATCAGCGACCCCAAAAACCCCCGAGTAACGATTTTCAAGTCAATTGGATCGATTTTTAAAAATGTCGTCCGACATATTGGATCCGCCATTTTGAATTTTTAAAAACGGACATCATATTCGTAATCAGAGACCCCAAAAACCCCTGAGTAACGATTTTCACGTCAATTGGATCGATTTTTAAAAATGTCGTCCGCCATATTGGATCCGCCATTTTGAATTTTTAAAAACGGACTTTAGATTCGTAATCAGCAGACGAAAATATTAAGGGAACCAATTGGTCTGATTTTTTTTAACATTATTATTCGATTATATTGCATATTCTAATTTTGGACATGGCCTCCTTTGACCCCCTGTATTTCGGAAAGGGGGAACATGCTCATCTTGAAATTTTGCAGGGATTATTGGGTCATCATATGTAACCATTTGTCATAAAAAAAGTTTCAAAATTCGAGGTACGAAAGAGGGGCATTTTTTGCATGGGGCTTGCCGAGGCTCTTTGATTCTATATTTAATAAATTAAAATATTTTCATGTTTGTAAGTCAGGATTACCTCCTTGTCTAGCTCATGATTTGCTTGAGGGAATTATAGCTTTTGATTTTATGCTTATGATAATATTTTTTGTTTCCCTAGGATGGTTTTCGTTTTCTGATTTAAATAGAAAAGTAGAAAATTTTAAATATTCTTCTAATGATCAGAGGGATAAACCTGCTAAAATCCCCGAGAAAGGAAAAAGAATTGTGGGTGATGCTTGGCAAATACTAGTTTTATTTCGTCTGTTTCCTTTGATTATTGGTATGGAAAAAAAGTTGATCATAAAAACGAAGTTTGGCTCATGCTTTTAAAATTAACTGAAATAGTAGAAATAGTTATTGCACCTGAAATTCACAAACCGTTTCTCTCATATTTGCAGTCTCTCATCAATGAGTATCTTTATATGAGAAAGAAATTATTTTCCACCGTTGTATTGCGACCCAAGCATAAACATACTTTTTTTAAAAGGGCAATGAGAATTGTCAAAAACTTCAAAGATGTAACTGGGTCACTAAGTGAAAAACATGAGCTTCTTCAAAGTATGCTTCGGTCAGGAATTGAGCTTAAAGTTGAATTAAATCTTATAGATGAAAGTGAGTTTCATACCTTCCAATACTCAAAAGAAATTCAAAAAGCTGTCAATGATAAGAAATTAAATGGAAATATATCTGAAGCTTGTTCCGTTGTTTCAAAAGGTAATTATTATAAGAAAGGAGATGCCGTTGTGATTAGACAGAAATTTTATCAATATGAAGTTCATATTGGAAGAATTATAGTAATATTGTGTGATGGAGAAGATTTAGTCCATTTCGTAGTTGAACTTATAGAAACAGAATTTATTTCAAACTTAAGACTATATGAACTTGGCAATTTCATTGCATATGAATGTGTCTGTCTTAACGATTTAATTAGTTACACTCCTCTTCATGTTTATACTCATGATACTGTATCTTCGGTAAAAGTGAAACATGCATTATCATCAACACCTTTATGTTAGAATATTTATTTAGATAAGGATAAAAATTGATATACTTCTTTGATGTAATATATGCATTTTAAAAGAATTTTTGATTTTATAGAAAATATAGACATGTTTAATAAGAATATTTTTTTAATTAAAAATACAACCGCAATTTTATGTATATTTAACATCTCCGTAAATTTCCTTCAAATATCCTTGATGGCATGTACACTCTGTAAGTTGAATTATACAGTCAATTCTGCCGTTCAAAGTAAAAAGATACATAAGCAACAATACAAACATTGTTGTAATTTACGCCTTTTTTACTTTGGACGGCAGAATTTTATAAGAAATTTTTGAATATGGATGTATTTCTTCTTATTATTTGCAGTTTCTCATTGATGCTTGTGATTCTTTGGAAATTGCTTACAATAGTTCTTGCAAGGTATCAATTTTTTACATTATTTCATTATTATTGTAAATTATTGTTTGGTGTTTATTACATTATTAATTATTATTAATTTTATTATTATAGATTGTACTTGAAGAAGATGGAACTCTTATTAAAAAATTTACATTATTGGAGCACTTATGTTCTAAGTACCCAAATTCATCATTGCTTCTCATGGTTTTATTAGATGAGAAGAAATGGACACCTAAAACCGCACCAATAATTACAAAAGTAACAGGTATTGGTTAATAATTTGATAATACTTAAAGTTGTGTGATGCTTTATTTAAAATAGTTAATTAATATTTATTTTATTAATAACTTTTTGTCTCAGAACACGACTCAGATCTGGTTTCATCTTCTAACGAAAAGACTAAAGACATGAACAATGCTACTGAATTATCTTTAAAGGAAAAAGAAATACCATTTGCTCTGCCTTGGGACAACATTGTTCCCCACGAAATGAAAAATATTTTTCCTCTGCCTGTATCTTATGAGTTGGAGTTCATAAGAAGACTGGGTGAATATCAGAAACATTTATTAAAAGATACATCTTCAAGTACTTCGAAAAAATTGGCGGAGTTAGCAATAGCCAAATTTCCTCCAGTTTTCCAAATTAAAACGTGGTCGTTGGATACGGATGAGGCATCTACATCAACTAATAATGTTTGCGTTTCTGGAGTCGCTCAACTGCAATATCGACGATATGACCGAGTCAGGAAAGCAACCCCTACAACCAATAAGCGCAAAAGAGTCACTGATTGTAATGACGAAGTAGAAACTTCAAGGAAACGTATTTTGCTATAACAAAAGAAAGCTAACATAATAAAAAACAACTTCTACTAGATTCCTTTCAGATTCAGGAACAAAAACTCTCAATTCTAGAAGAAAAAAAAATTTTACAGACACATATCCATCATAGTGAATTTGTCTAAATAGGAGAGAAAGTCACAATTTAACACTTCAAAGTATTCAAGAAGATCACTGGCCTAATTTATTTTGAGGGATCATTTTTTGCAACATTGCAACACTCTTCTAGGCTGAAACCTATCAACCATCTGGGAAAATAATATCGGCAAAACAAAACGTATATATGATTATTTTTTTAATTATATAAGAAAATTTAAATCTTCCAATAATATGAATGAAAAAATAAAAAATATTCTATCCATCTTGAGTGACATTAAAACACAATCCGAAAATTTAAAAAGTCAGTATCCGAAAACAGTTGGCTTCATTCAGCTCCTTTCAGCATTTTTTAAGGAATCTGATCTCTATATATTGATAGTAAGTTTTTTCTAAGCACTTAAATAACAATATTTTTATCTTATTGTATATTATTAATCGTAATTTCAGGATCAAGAAGCTACAAATGAGGAAATAAGGAAAATTGAAATTTCCACTCGACCAATCTTAGTCGTACAAGGTAAACATTAAAATATCATTTCAATCTTTAATATTAATTAAGATAATTTTATTACTTCTTTGTACAAAATTGAAAATTTAACATTACAGGTCTGTCAATTTACCAGGAAAATTGTCTAACGTCTGTGGCAGTGGAAATTGCCATTCTTGTCAAGTCGGACAGCCTGTTGGAAGGTTTACTTCTATTTTCATTAAGCCATTATATGTATGGCTATAATTATGACGAAAAAAAATCATCTACGTTGGAGTTAATTCAAAGGTAATTACAAAAACATGTTTCAAATAGTAAAATTTGACTGATCTCAAAGACTTAACGAACAAACTATTTTTCAGGATGTTATTGGATATCAACCCAGTAGACGGACACAAACGAGGCAGGAAAAATAAAAGAAAAACCCCAGACGCTAATACGAAAGTTTTGTCGCTTATTTAAGTAATAGTTGATATCTCTGGATAATTATTTATTACATTATAAGCAATATCAACATGCATTACTTATATTTAAATTCTGATATAATGCTCATACATTATTTTTATATTAGATAATATTTTATTTTTATGAATAAACATATATTACGAAATAAATAGAATATGTTCCTAAAAATTATATATTTAATTCTTCCATATGTATATATATTTTGTATTATTTTAAATCGATTTTTGGAAGACAGGTGAATAAAACACATTCACATATATAATGACAACGTTTCGGAGGCACAGTTCGCCACCATCCTCAGGTCACTTTATTACATTCTAAACAAATTCAATACATACAGAATAAACCAAAAAACTAATTTAAATTATTTAAAAATAATATTTACCTAATTAAAAGAAAAAGAAATTGCACCAACACTTCATCAAAGGAGTAAAAAAAAAAAAAATTAAAAAATAAAAAATTGTAAAAGTTTAAATTATAAATCACGAACATGATTATTGTAAGCGATTAGTCAAACTGAGTCTAACGGTGACAATTTTCACATTATATACAGAATAATGGGTCAATGAACCTTCATAGAAATATTATGAATATAATCATTGTTTCAATTTGCTAAGTAAAGGAAAATAAGTATTGCTAAGAAATTGTACATCTTCTTTCTTATTAATAGTAAATTCGTTGCATTTAATATGGATCATTTCTGAAATTAATCTTTTTCTATAAGAAAATTCGTAATCTATAATTTTTGCATCCTCGAAATTGAAAGAATGATTATAATCAGCTTGATGTTTGTTTACTACTGAATCAGAATTTTTATTATTTTTATGTTCATTAATTCTTTTTTTTAAAGTCCGTTTCGACTCACCTATATAAGTAGCAGGGCAATTATTACAATTGAACTTATACACAATACTCGTTCTATCCCATTTCTTTGTCAAGTCTTTACCCAATTTCTTAGCAATACTTATTTTCCTTTACTTAGCAAATTGAAACAATGATTATATTCATAATATTTCTATGAAGGTTCATTGACCCATTATTCTGTATATAATGTGAAAATTGTCACCGTTAGACTCAGTTTGACTAATCGCTTACAATAATCATGTTCGTGATTTATAATTTAAACTTTTACAATTTTTTATTTTTTAATTTTTTTTTTTTTTACTCCTTTGATGAAGTGTTGGTGCAATTTCTTTTTCTTTTAATTAGGTAAATATTATTTTTAAATAATTTAAATTAGTTTTTTGGTTTATTCTGTATGTATTGAATTTGTTTAGAATGTAATAAAGTGACCTGAGGATGGTGGCGAACTGTGCCTCCGAAACGTTGTCATTATATATGTGAATGTGTTTTATTCACCTGTCTTCCAAAAATCGATTTAAAATAATACAAAGAATATGTTCCTATTATTAAGAATTATTTTTTATATTAGGATTAAAAAGAATTCTCACAAACATTTTCATTAAAAAAGGAAATAAAATAATTTATGTTACATTTTTTAATTGGAAAAATTAAATTCTATCTAAAAGTTATTGGTTAGAAAAATTTTTCTTAATAATAGCAAAAAACATATTTTAGATTTTTTCCTCCGTGCAATTTTTCTGAATCCAAAAAAACCCATTTTCGAGGTGTTACGTCACTTAAACTCACCTGTAGGAAAATTAGCTGGTCAAAATATAATAACTACCTAATATAAAAGTTAGGAATGTAATTAAATTACCTTTCGAACTGTCGGTCGTAGAATCAAATCGAATGAAAATTGACAGATCTATAGTTGATCAAAGTTCAAATTTGGATAATTTTTACATAGTTGTGTAACTTCTGCTAATTTTTTCTAATCGAAACCATAAAAAATCATGCTTTAACTTTTTTATCAATAGTACATTTAATTACGAAAATTTTGAGCCCAAGTAGAGCACAATCGGATGAAAAATAAAAATTCTACACTAGATTTAGTGAACGAAACAATCCATTTCTTTGATAAAAATGTAAATATTTTTCATCATCATGCGACAACGGGCCACAAATTTATTCTACTTTATAAAAAAAATTTTTTGTGCAAAAAATCAAAACCAGTTTCAAAAACAATTAGTTAATCTAAGGTTTTAAAAATCTATAATCTAGGGTTTTTGGAGTTGCTGATTACGAATCCAGAGTTAGTTTTTGAAAATTCAAAATGATGGATCCAATATAGCAGACACAATTTTGAAAATTGGATATAAATTCATAAAAAAGATAAATTTTTAATTTATAGTAAATTTATACAATATTTTTTGCTTATTATATATTTTTAACAGTATAATTAAAAGTATAATTTTATTACAATTTTTAATTATTTTTTCTTGCGCTTTTGTGTCTTTCTATTAACATTCTCTGGTTCGTTATTTTTTGTAGTGGTGTTTTTAAATGAGATTCGACTGGAACTTTTTCGTTTTTTCTGCATTCCATCTTCGCGTATTAGGAACCAACAGTAGTCCTCCATCATTGATTCATCCCAAAAGCCTTTGTTTTTCTATTTCAACCATATCCTGATGAAAGCGTTCTCCTTAGTCATCGTTTTCTGCACCTAGGTTCTCAGGTAAGAAATCTAAATTGCTGAATATAAAATACATTTTGATCGTCATATTCGCTCCTGAAAATTAAAATTTTTAAAGAATATCTATCACACTGACAAAAAATGAGTTAAATTTGAACTCTTACAGAGTTCTATAAAAGTCACATATATGATTTAAAAGTTGTTGCCGCATGAGAAAAATATAATGAGATATTTTGGTCTACTAAAAGTTAATTTTAGCATTAATATTTGTTTTGCATGACGCATCAACTGGCAAGAGATCTAATGCTTAACTCAGCTAAAAATTCCTGTATAAGATGCATCAAAGTTTTTGGTCAGAAACATTACTATTTCCTTACCCCTGATGGAATCAGATTAACACTATTTTGGAGTCAAATTTTTACTCGAAAAGTTTTACTCCATTACTTCGTTTGTCATTAACGAATTAAATTTTGTACCATCAAGAACTAATATTTGTAATTTATGCTTACCAACTTCATTGTATTTTTTCACCATTGTGTTAATTTTTTCGACGTGATCTCAAGTTTTGTAGATACCTAAGAAGTTGTGAAGAACATCTTTATACGCATTCCATGCTTCCAATTTCACTTCTGCCAAACAACTGCTAAATTTTTTGTCTCCATATAGCGCTCTGATTTGAGTTTCGTTGAATATTTCAGATTTAATTTTCGTTTGTTAAACCTTAAATTTTTGTTTTAAATATTGCATTGCTGGTACATTAGGTTGCAACGCTCCCCAGAAAAGCCTACAGCACACTTTCAAAGTGGCACAGTAGTCCTCAAAGTTCAGTCGCGCTCCAAGACTCGAAAAAGTAACGCAATGCGCCCTCTTTTTTTCAGTGTTGGATTAGAAAAAATTTAGTAGAAGTTACAAAAGTATGTAAAAATCATCAAAATTTGAACTATGATCAACTATAGATCTGTCAATTTTCATTCGATTTTATTCTATGACCGACAGTTCGAAATGTAGTTTAATTACCTTTCCAACTTTTATATTATTTATTAAATTTGGACTAGCTAATTTTCCTACAGGTGAGTTTAAGTTACACCTCGAAAATAGGTTTTTTTGGATTCAGAAAAATTTCACGAAGGAAAAAATCTAAAATATGTTTTTCTTACTTAAAAAACACCTACAAATCGAAAAAAATGTAAATTTGTAAACCTGTAATTTATGACTTAAAACATTTTTTAAATGTAAAACTTATATTCGCAAACAGTCATCCGCAATTGGTTCATATTGTTTGGGTGATTGGATTTAATGGTGTATTTATTGTCCCAAGTTTTTTTAAAATCATGACTGCTTCCATTGCATGTTTTGAGTAGTAACATAAACCCACTTCTTGCCATGAGCAAAAGTCGTCGATATGAGATAAAACATCGTGGACTATCGGAATGACACATATGGAGAGACCTTTCTAACATTTTTCGGAAGTTAGAAATACAATTTATGTAATTATTTTTCAAATCATTAGTGAAACAAGCTTCAATCACTGCATGAAAATCTTCAAAAGCTTTTACATATTTTACGCAATTCAAAGAACACATTGCTCTTAATTTATCGGTATTTTGTAACAAATTCTTGCAACTATTCCCATCCAATCCAGAGTAGCCCCAAAAAATCTTTTGCTGAACATTACACTTCGCAGCCTAAATAAATGCTACTTCTTCAATTTATTATATCGTTAAGGATGATATTTACTACTTGATGTGTAGAGATTTCCAGAGATATACTAGACACGCGTGGAGTCAGCTTTGACCGACGTTTACAGACGGCGTGTATTCGACTCGCAGTTAAGCAAATTTTTTTTTGTTTTGTACTATCGTGTTTTTTGGATAATTAAACTTGCATAATAAAGGAATTTTTTTATGTATTGAATAATAAGATAAAAGAATTTATGAAATAATAATAATTTGATAATTGTTAGGCTTCCATACACTGTAAAACGAATACATATGTATTTATACATGTATTTTTGCGCGTAGATTATAAAAAAATATATCGAACCTGATTCGAATTGATTATCATAACATTGTGTCCAAACAAAAATGTTTATGGTTACTGTAGCTGCTAACAGCGGACTAGAATTCTTAACTTTAGGCGTAAGTACCATGTGACATAAAGACTACAAGCAATTTTGACTGAAAATTTCTTTCCGCGTCCTTTATATTCATAGTAGTTTCTTGTTTAGACATAATTTGAACTGTAATTTTCTTCTTTGTTTTTACAGAAATTCTATCCTCCTTTGTAGTTTTCCATTGTTGATACTTAAATTCATAATTCTTATTTAGTTATTTTCAGGAACTGGACTTTTTTAAATTTACATTTCTTAATCTTGCGTAGCATACAATCTTCCGTTTTTGGTGAACAGACAATAGAATCGATATCTTCAATATCTTTACTAACAATAATCTTATTTTTTATTAATGAAGTTGTAATCAAAGTTATGCTTTCGTATTTAAGGCATAAATATGTATCGCGTTTTTTAATTTTGAGGGGGTATAAT